GCTCTCCAGAAAAATTTCACATGCAAAAGATTTCTAATTTATACCAATTTAGTACCAATTTTAACTTTGTAGTCAAATTAACACTATTTTATTTTTTTTTTTCGAGAAAATTGTACGGCAACCACGTGTTCGCCTTTATTTAGCGTATTTACATCTACATAGCTCGTTAAAAAGGTTTCAATAAGGGCGGTATATTTAAGCTGTCAAACGTTACTTTCTAGCGAATCGAACAAACTATACCAGATGCTCAAATAATGATGTTATAAGTCTTTCTGAGTGAATAAATTCTATTTTTCGCGATAAAAATGTTGTTTTAATCCTTTAAAGCAGGAAGGCTGCATATATTAATATACTGTGTTGCAGTCCACAAAGGAATTCCGCGAACCGAAATATCTGATGAGATGGTCAAAAGTGTCATACGTGTGGCTACCTAAGCAGCAAATACTAATAACGATATACAATGTAATTTCTGAAAGAACAAACGAATTAGGTCGAGATGGAAAGTCTAAGTACATGAAAGATCGACAAACCATATTAAAGATCCCCGTAGCAGAACTCGTATGCGTTTTACTGTCGATCGGTTGTTTGCGTCTTGACATGTCACAACCTACTGGCATAAGATGCGAGTCAAATGGGCATAAGTAAAGACGACACTCGCAGAGGGTCAGAAAAGTTGGCAAAAATAGGCATAAAACAGATCCTATGCCTCTGTCCAGCATTAACTAGAACTTATGTATCTTAGAAATCAAGGAGTTTCGCGGATGAAGGTACTAGAAGATGTATCAGACTTAGATATCAAGTCCCTCCTAAAGTTCGCAAAAAGCGTTGACGTTCTGTATGACGAATACWTCACCTGGCATTACTAAGGTGAAGGTACATTTATGTATGGGGTGATAGCCAGTCAGTAAATCCTAACCTAACTTTCAAAAATATAAGGTGAAAAAAATTATTTGTCCTCTCATTTGTAATTGTATCATTCACAATAGAAAAACTGGTATGAAATATGCAAACCAAAACTTGGTATCATTGAAGAAAGTGTAGCCGCTTTCTGTAGCCGACTTTGATGATTATATATTATTCAATATATTATACATATCAATAGATAACATTATATGCTATTGTTTAAAATATGCCTTTACTATCTATCACTTTCATTTCCTCTTAGTTCTATTCGCATTTCCTCATATTTTCAATTTGGCAACGACGGGGTGAACACATTATGTACATATATTTTATTGCATCTAAACTGAACATATAATCACTAAATTTTCTTGAATTTCTTTTGTTTTTGTATTCCTTTTTGTTTTGATTAGAAAATGCGTTTAATGCCGCGTATAAAAAAAAAAAACAATAACAATAATTTAATGCTGTAGCAACGGTGGCAACTGAGTTGCATCTGCTGTGCTTTAATTCTGTGTTAATGTGGCGAGAAAAGTAGAAGTAAATAGTAAAAAATTCGACTTATTTGCTTGCGAGGCTGTACTAATATATATTTCTGTAGATATACAAGTACATAATACAAAGTAATAAAACACATTTTTATTTACATACATATGTATGTACATATATGTGGCCAGAGAATCTACTGAATTATACATTACAGTGAGCCAAATACTCCTGATCGTAAATATAAAACTAGACATATATTACTTTTTTTAAATGAATATGAATTCTTCTATAGATAAGCTCAAATATGGGTGCTTATGAATATGAACAAATGTATGTATGCATATATCATATTACTACCTCTAATTTGTATTCCCTCACTTCAATAACTGTAGCAAGTAATGCAATTTTTTTTTTTTAATTAGAGTATAAGTATATTCATAATATATACATATGTATATAGTATATCCCAAATTTCGACGACTCGTTGGAGTAACTGACGAATGACACGCGTGATGATTTGCTCCAAGGCCTGAATCGAAGCGGTATTTTCCACACAGAAATCTAACAGTGTGATATCCCTCGGCCAAAATATCTGCTCAGCGAAGTTTTTTCACAATAAATCCAACGATTGATGTGATATATGGGAAGTAGTAGCATCATCTTGAAACCAAATGTCGCCGAGATCACGAGCTTTAATTGCAGGCAACAAATAGTTAGTTATCATGACGCAAAAACGATCGCTATTGACGGACGATGATTCCACCGGCCCACAAACGACACCAAGTCTTTTTTTTTTGGATAAACATAGTAGCTCTTGAATCTCTCAGGTTGTTCTTTGTCCCAAATGCGGCAATTTCGTTTCTTTACATGAAATGAGTCTTATCGTTGAACAAAATTTGGCTCGAAACCGTCCGACCTTTCTCGAACTTTTCATGAGCCCATAGAGCGAAGCGATGTCGTTTGGGCAGGGCGAGCGGTTTCACTTCCTGCACAAGCTGTATTTTGTAAGCTTTTAATTTAAGATTTCTCTTTCTACGATGAAATGCCAAAAAATACTGAAGAAAAATAACATGACAGCTTAACACGACTCACGCGTGATCTGTAACAACAAAAAAAGGCGATTGAAAAAAGTATCTCTATTAAATTAGAATAGCTACCCAATATTTCTCGTAGAAACTATATTGTTCTCTTATCTAATTTTTTTTTACAATATTGTGACATTATGGGAAATTATTTTTTTACCAAATTTGCATTTCCGTATAACTTTCAAAAGCTGCGATCGTTCCTCAAAAAACTTTGGCTGACACCACTAATATCAAGTTCTGTTGTTTATTTTTCCAAATACCTGAGAGCACTAAGTATTGAAAAATAATATGAATTTTTATGATATGAAAAAACCGATCTTAGGTGAATGCGCTGAGTTATTCGCTCAGTACCCTCTTTATTAACCTCGAAAGTTGAACACAGCCATAAATAGTCGGTAAAAAAAGTTGCGTACTTTCCAAATATGTACCTGCGTATGTATAGTATAGCATGTGTATAACTATATACATATATATTTATTATCATGTAACACAAGAATCGTACGCGAGTAAATGTCAAGCATCTGACATTTGCCAAATTGACAGTAGTAACAATGAAGGCAATTGCAACTTACAATAAAGCCACTTTACCAATTTCCACTTGTCGGCTGATATATGTGTATATGTATGTATACTTTTCAGGTGGTTGATAGTTTAGACAGTTGCATGCCACTTTGCCACACTTTCCTCCATTTATCTGCTGTATTTTGTTGCATGTGCGAAGGCTCCGACTGACACTTGCATGACAGCTTCGTTTCAAGGCTTGTGCCAGTACTCACTTTTCAAGGGAGAAAATGAAAACGAAAGGACAATTAGCCTGTCCGTTTGATCAGCTAATTTGCATTTGTAGTGAAATTTAATTCGAACTTAATGAAATATGCTGTCTAAATAATTGCAGGGTTAACAAGTTAAATTGTTGTGGTTATGAGATAAGCATTATTAGATATAAAATGTTGATTATGTGAGGTAAAAGGGCGAGGCAGGATCATTCTTTAGTGATATATGTTTAAAGAGTATACCGTTGCAGAACTTATAATAATCATTGTGGAAAAATTTGTATATTGTAATGTTTACAAGGATTAAAGTTGTATGTGATAAGATCACAACTTGGTCTGAGGCTGAGATCGCGAGTGTAGAGGCTTGCTTTTGCAAGACCAAAATATCTTGTTAATGAATAAGACCCGACTATTATTCGTTGCGCTTCGTTTGATACATCAACCCAGGTCCTATCATAGATTGCTTTATCTTCTACTCTGCCTGTATGTCTCTCATCCACTCCATCTCACTCCTTTTTCCACTCTCCTCTCTTTCTAGGCGGACGAAAATAGCTTTCATTAGAGAAATTTGAAAAGAGCGTCATGAAATTAATGAAAGTAACAACAACAATTTGACTTAATGTTTTGCCAAATTTGGCGTGTGTCCTTCAAACTTCATTTGTCACTCAGTAAAACCCACTTGTGCGTTGTTTGTTGGTGACACTTTACCATAATTAATTTGAAGCAAAGAAATGGAGGAAAGTTTTATTTATTCTCCTCGAAGACAAATGTATATGACAAAGCATTATTGCATTTTAATGGACAACACTTGTCTGCAATGACCGTAATGATTTTTTGTGATGATTCGTAAATTCCATTATATTTGCGCCATTACCGTTATTACACAATAGAATGGGTTTTTTCGAGTCAATTTGTCTGGTAGAGTTGAGGCGGATATTGTGAAACTTGTGGCGCCAAATATTTATGCAACTCTTGATGTCGTCCATATAAATAAGGAAAATATAAAAAAATATATCGACCCACTGGAATTGAATAATGAAGTGATTACCAAATTTGTGGTATTAATTATTATTAAATGCTGTAGTGAGGGACAAGTGAGGCTAGAATGTGAAATATGAAACGAGGTTCAGTAGAGAACTAATTTTTGCCGTAAAATTGTCTGCACTAGAGTTGGTGTATATCTAATTCCATATTTTTCAAAGGTTTATATTGTAAAGATTTCTCGTTGATATAGCAAGCATGATATATCCAAAACATTTCCTCATAACCTCGCTCTTATCTCATGGTTTCGTCTAGTGTTGGCTAGGCCTATTGAAAAATTATTTCGAAACTCTCTCTCTGGGCGAAACCTTCAACGATTCCGAAGTTTATCGTCACAAAATCGCTCAAATCTCTTGATTCCTATTTCGCCTCAAAACCTCACTGTTATCTAATTGTTTTGTCTAGGAAGGCCCTATTGGGAAAAAACAAGTGACTTTGCCTGTGAACTTTTTGCAAGGCAAAGCTTTATCCAAGCCTTATTTTGGATAACTTGCTGTCCACTTTGAAAAGTCTTTTCTAGTTGGTCCAGGTAGGGAGTAGCAAGGAATACTTATGAATAAGTCTAAGAGTGATCAAGAAGCTTGCAACAAATAACCAAAGAACTAAGCACATTCCTTCTAACTTATATTTTTGCAATTATTTAAAATAAAATAAATTCGATTTTTAAACGCTTTTCTTTAATTGCCTTTCTCTTCTTCTCATTTGCCAACAGTGAACGCGATCCGTTGTCACCAGTGTAACTCCCATCTGCAAGAGGATTGCACGGAATTGCGTTTGATAACACCGCGTGCTCCACGTGATGAGCAATTCTTAACCGAATGTGAGTCGCCCGATATGTTTTGCCGCAAGACGATTACGAAAATCGAAGTGAGCGGCGAAAATCGCATTATACGCAGCTGTGGATACTTGGACAACGACAAGAAGGCGAAGACGAATTACTGCTTCGATGCTGACAATGAGGGGTATAAGCAGAGGATCTGCACCTGCTATGAGGATGGCTGCAATGCGGCACCGCCACGTCTCGGCAATGCCAATCACGTGACCATGCTGAGTGCGACCGGTTTGTGCGTGTTGGTGGCGCGATTCCTGCGGATTAATGCTTAGATAGGAGAAATTTCTGTACAAATTCATTCTGATGTGCGTATGTATTTTGCATCGTTGCGTGAAGTATACTAGATTATTGTAAATTGTTGGAACTTTTCATTGGAGAGTGGAGTGCTTGAAGCATGAAATGCATATTAATGAAGTTGCCGCTGGAGTTGAAGAGTCCTACACTTTCTTTGTCTATTTGAGAGTGTTGATTTATTTTATTTGATTGCTTTCATTTCATTTTTGTTTAAAAATACTTCCACACGACTTTTGGACTCGATTTATGAAATTTTGATTTAATAAAAAATATATGCATACATTTATAGATTAAGTTTTAATGTACACATATTTCGAGGAAATATTTTTGAAAGAACTATTAAGAATAAAATTTATTTAATAGAAAATAAATTTAAAAAAAATCCATCGAAAATCCATCGTAAGTGTTAATTTTTATTAATTCAGACTAATGTTTCAGGTATAGTTTTGGTTAGGAATTCTAAAAGTGCACTCTCATAGTTTATAAGTTAACCGATAAGAAGGAAAGAGAGCGGGCCTGTTTTTTTTTCAAGCGGCAGCAGACGGGCATTAAAGGATGCGAAAAGCGAGCTGAGGAGAGCATCTCTTAAAAATTTAGACGTTTGTAAATATTTAAGGTATCTAAACCCATCAGATCTAGACTGCTTAATTGTCAAAAAGAATTATCATACAAAAAGTTAGATATTATTACCAAAAAGTAATCGTTTATGGGCAAAATGTTCGAATCTTATGGTTCTGGAATCGGAAAAATATACAGAGCCTAGGAAATCCGCTCAAACCCCATTTTAACACACTCACTAAGAAGAATTAATCATTTTGACAATTTTCTCCTTAAAAACCGGCGATTTGTGACACAATTTTAATTTATTAAATTTTTGGGTAAACTCAGATTTAAAATTTCCTTAATGAAAATTAAATTATGCGCCATGCGATTCTGCAAATTTCTTCATTTTTATATTTTCTCTACAAACAATAAGTTTAAAAGTTATAAGCATTTTTGTGCTCGGTGGCTGCTTGCTACATGCTCCTGGTCGCCTGGTAGAAATTCGAGATTTTCATCAGCTTTATGCAATTTTTATGCAGCGGCGGCGGATGCTCTACAGTTTTGTGTAGTGGGTAAGCATACCCAAAGGGGCGGAATTTTAAATACGGATGCGAGATATATACACGGGCAGGAAAGAGAAACAGATCATCGAACGGAAGTGGAATTACGGTACTATACTTCCGGTCCGAAAACCTAAACGCAAGTTGCAAAACTGAAACGAATACAATTTTTATTTCCGTTCAACAACATCCGGACCGGAAGTGAGACATATTTCCGGTTCGAACATCTGATAAAAATTGAAAACGGATGCAAATTTATTTTCCACTTTTTTCCGGTATTTTCGGAACATGTTATCGACCGGAATTGGAATTACGGTACTATTCTTCCGGTCCGAAAAATTAACCGGAAACGGATACGAATTTCACTTTTGTTTTACAACATCCGGCACAAAAATGATATTACGGATATATATTTCCGGTTCATACATATAAACCGGAAACGAATGTTAACATCCGGACCGGAAGTCTAACCGGTTGTTAGAAAACGGAAATGGAATAAGTGGAAATCAAAAACGACTTATGTAGCGTTTCAATAGAAATTAGTTTTAGATGAAAATTGTACATAATTTTTTTTGGATTTTCTACGGAAAGAATATAATTTAAAATCAACTTACAAATCAACATACGGCTTTTAAATAATACGTATTTAAAAAAATTATGTAATATTTTGGTAAAAACTATACAGTATACTTTAACAAACCATGCTCTGGGAAATTTTAAAAGCATCTTTATAAATTTCTTGCCCTTGCTTCAATTATATAGTATGAGCATAACTTTCACCCATCACTTACTTCCAATGGCTTTTTAATGTTTTTAGAAGAAAGTGCAAACTGTGCTTTTTATTGCCGACCAATGTTTGGCTGCGCATGTGAATAATTTTCAGAGACACTAGTTTATGGTCTGTAAGAATAAATTAATAAAAAGTAGTTTTATGTGGAAAACGTTCAACATGGAGCGAGGAAGGAATGAGTCAAATAAAGGGGGTTTTCGAAATGAGTGAAATACTTTAATAGATCGTTGGAAAATAGCGAAACTTCCTTTGTAGGCCTTCAGAGAAAAGGTTTTAAGCAATTTATGAGGCTTGTGAATTAATATTTTTAATATATTGATTTGACAAATCAGCATCTGGATGAATGAAAGATATATCTATATATTAGACTCATGATTTAATAGCCATAAACTCGCCGATTTTAAACTCCCACTGCTGATCTAGGTTTGATTTTTTTGCCGCGAATTGTAAATTATTATTTCCAGCGATCATACGATTGCAATCCTTAATAGTTTTTAAAATATGCTTTTGGTACGAAACGAACTGGGCTTTAAGGTTTTATATTTTGAACTAATATATGTTCACTAAGGAGTTTAAGAAAGTGGGGGTAATTTTTTAAAACACTATAAAGTAGTAATCAACAGAAAGACCTATTTTCTCAAGCCAAATTTTGTAGCAAAAGAAACAAATAATTTCATAAACACTCCCAAATATGCTGTTTAAAGCACTTTAGGAAAATATTTCGGCTAAAAAAAAAAAAACAATACTAATATTTTCTAATTGGAATAAATTGTCTACTTAGCAGTTTCTATCACTTGTTCGCTACTACTTCTTGTTATTGAAGGAGATTACTATTATCCATTTTCACTTCTACTCTCCACCCTTTCTCTACTCTTCTCCTTTGAGATTACTAGTGCCAGTGTTAGTGGCGTGTTTACTAATTTTGCATTGTTTTCCTTATTTAGTTCGTTGTGGCATAATAAACTTGTATAATTTCTGTTGTGTAAAAATTTAATTAGAAGCAAAAGTTTTAATTCGCTTAAAATAAAAACAATCAAAACGAAGTGCGCAAAGTATTGAAAAAGCTGCAGCTGTGCCTCGTAAGCTCGAAGCTCACTAGAGTGAAAGCGCGGTAAACAAGCAAGTAAGCGCAGCAGTGAGGCGGCGCTTGAAACAAATGGCAGTAGAAGTTGAGTAAGAAAGTTTTAAACAAAAATGTTTGACTTCTCGACATTTACTAATCCCGAAGCACAACTTAACTTTCGGTTAACTGGTGGTGTTCTTGCTGCGGCTGCTGAATGAAGACGGCGCGCGAAGTCGTCGTCTACATACAAACATCTTCACGCCGCTGCGTTGCGTTCGCTGTGGCAAGTGAATCGGCAAAGAACTTATAATTAGTCCACAGCGACTTTTAATAGATCCAACAGGGAGCGCACTTGGTGCTCTGGTATATCGCAATAGGCTGAACTCGAAATTATGAGCTCAGAAGTTCAGTGAATGCTCAGAGTGAGAGGTTTAATTGTTGGAAGCATTAATCAGCGTGGCAAACTATTTGACCTTTGAAGTGAATTCATTCGTGACGAAGTATTCATGTGCTCGCTTTTGTGTATACATACATACTCTTGCTTTTATGCATATTTATGTATGCACTTAATATATATTTTAATTCCGACTTTTCTTCAATTGGAAATATATTAGTAAGTACAATTAAAATTTTCGCTCTTTCGACTATACTTAATATTAGCTGGAAGTCGTGGTTACTGTATACAAGTATCAATAATCAGAAAAATAAAATGAGATCCCTAGAAACTTTATATATAATACCATGGGGTGGCTAAATGCTTTGACTTGTCGCAGTCAAAGTTAGTCTTTAGAGCTTAGTTAGACGCCAGTTAGACTATATATTGTATCTTCCCTTGCAGCATATCGTTTCAAACGAAAACGATGATTTGATTTATAATAGTTCTAGTAAAAAATGATTATTTTTTCTATGGATGGCTTTAGTGTATAAATAACTCGCGCTTTCTTTGATAAAAGAGTAAACGTAAGCCAGTTGGTAACCGATGGTTCGGTTACTACAACAGTCAATCACGCTCAATTTGGGTTTCTTCGACTCAGTTCCAGTAATGTTGATGTCAAGCCACCAGCATCACGCTTGATAAGACTAGTTGTCGAAAATAGAGATAAAATTATGGGAAATGTTGATTGCTACCATTATTGAAATCCTGTTTTAATTGCACAGAAGCTAAACTTTGCTGAAAAGACCATTTGGAACCATTTAACGTTCGACAAAAAACTCGGTGTTTAGTAACTATAGGAGTTAACCTAAAAATCTAATAGAATAATCCATTTGCGAATCGCTGTTGGACCACAACTAAATCGGTGCATTTCTAAAGCGGATGGTTTCGGGTGATGAAAAGGTTGCCAAGCCAGGATTGACGATCAAACATTTTTTGCTTTGTTTTCGGTTTGGCTAAGCTCTTGTATCGGCAAGAATTGTAAGCAATCGCTTAAAATGGGTCAACTTTGACCAAAAGGAATTATATTCTATTCTAGAGCTCAGTTGGAAGGTTATTTGCCAAGAGGAACGCGATTAAGATTTATTTTCTTAAGATAAAGGAGAAATAATGTGCCTTATTGGCATGTGTAAGTATGATTAATGCTGCTTCGGATTCCAACGTTATTCATTTAGCGAATTTCATGGCCACAAGACATTCAAATATGCAAATCATTATACATATATACATGCATGTATTATTATATACATTTATAAGTGGCTAAATTTTTACGCCACAAGTCGACGCAATTCCACAATTTGCCGCCATTTCGGTGGGCAGAATTGTTCAAGGCGTAAACTAGTAACAGTCTGCCAAAAAATTTATGAGCGCAAATTATTTTATTGCCCAAACACACCACCAACAACAACAATGGATATAGATAAATCTTAGAAGACATCACGAATTCTCATTACAGAAATTGTATGCGTACGTTTCCGCCCAAGCACCATCGCAAAGAAATCCGTCAAGCCGCGCAACATCGCCGACGCCAAGTCAATAGATTTTTTTATTCCTTTTTGTTGTTTTTCGGCGTAGCATATTTCAAGTATTGGCTTTAATTGCTGCTCAAGCCGACAATGAACAATAACAAAAATTACAGAAAAAATAAAAATTTGAAGTACTCGATATTTATACGTAGTTATATGCCAGCGTTGCCACACTAATATAACAAGAAATTAAAAAAAAATAATAACAATTCGTGACAGAAAACTCACCTCAACATAGAGCTAAAGCCCACAGCTGCTTTCCAACGACTTCTAGATCAACTAATCGCAATGTGTAGTACATAACCTCAAATATAATTTTTCATTTGACTAACCTAAACTCAGTTAAAACCCCTCAATATACTACCTTGAATAC